TCTAGGAAAAACAACGATCTATCACGTAGTCATGTAGTAGCGTCGACCCACGCCGACGCACTCACCCCGTGTGGGCAATCGAACCCACACACCTAGACACCACTAATTCTAAAGCTGACTAGAAGTTTAGGGGATCTCACCACCATGACGGTTGCGGACACATTCTCTTTGCTTGAAGGAGAGCCCACACATCGAGTCATCTGTGTCTTATCTATGCTCCAATGTACCTTGCATTACGTGCATAAGATAACAAAAAGACCCAAGGAGGACAAAGAAAGGAATCAATGAGGTATGCAAAGTACCCAAAATAAACATTGCATCATATGAAAATATGACTGACACGTACACACCTTCACGGGAGGAGTTTCCCAAATCGAGGCTTGCTTAAATTTATCTCACAATGAATCACAAAGATTTTTGTATGAGGATACAATGCTAAGAACTCATCTGCATTGTCCCTCAACAATAGAGGAAACACAAGTCATTAACACATTTTCTCAAGTGCACTCAAATATCATAAGATTTGCACTCGATATATAAACCCACATAACCCACATTTTTTTATGCATGTAAGTCACAAAGATCCATACTTGCTCAAACAAAGTGGGACAAACCCACAAAAAAATAATTTCAATTTAGATTGAACATCAATGCTTTGAAATCCCACCGAATTAAAGCTTTATCATGAAAGCATATTGTATTTATGAATCAAAACTATCCATATAATAAAGGATTTAGAACAAGATTTAACCTGGATCTACCTTATTCTTTTTGTCTCCCAAGTTTTGGATATGAGCAATTTAAACAGAGAAGAAAAATGAGAGTTGTGTATCTCCATTTGCTGCGAGGAGCACTGCTCAAGGGAGTTCACCGAGGCTGAGAGGGAGGATGTTGGCATGTGTCCGGTCAAGAGAAGGAAGAGCCAAAAATGATGTCGGCTTGGAAGGAGGTTGGGGTCGGTGAGAACTCAATGTCAACGCTGAAGAAGACTGGCAAAGCATCGTCGACAAGAAAGGATGGTCGCGCGTGCGATTGGCCGAGAGGGGAAGAACGACCAAAAACCTTGCGCAAGAAACCCTCGGGTAGGAGGCTTCGGCATTGAGAGGACGTTGGTGGCGGATTTCGCCGACGAGGAGAAGGTCAGCGACAAGCTTCCGGCGCGAAGGGAAGGCCGAAGCGGATTGCGGCGCTAGGGTTCGCGAACAGGTGTCGGCTATGAGAGTTTCACATGAGAACCTGGGAGAGAGTGTTTTATAACGTAAGAATAATAATAATAATTATTATTATTCAAATAAACATCTCCCGTACATTTTTTAGCACGTACAAGAGCTCGTGATAAAATTAACGCCCCCTAGGTAAAATTGACATTCCGGATGCACTAGTGTGGTTAATTTCGTCGTTCGGGGTTGTTTGGATGACTTCACTGACATTAGGCCAATTTGAGTCAACTTCGCGCGTGATGCGATGATTTGCATTTGGTGGTTCGATCAAAATCATCTAACGTGCAAAATGTTGACTGACTTTCGCCTAAGCGTATGCTGAAGCCTAGCTGATGACCCTGACTACGTGCCCTTCAACACGCGCTGAAAGGTCTGAAATGGATATCTTGCACAACAAGGGTAACTCATTTGCATAAAGTACGATTCTGATGCGCTCGATTGGACATCCAACAAATGTGACATCAAAATTTGATGCCAACATGGACTTCGTAGGATGACGAGCAACCAACACAACAGTATAACCTCCTTGGACCCTCTCTCTTTTTCTCCTTAACTAGCCCTAGTTTTGGGTCAATGGGCGGGTGGGTTCGATCACCCACATAGGGTGCTTGTGTCGGCTCACATTAGTCGGTACGACCACACACCTATGTGATCGATTGTTGTTTTCCCTAGAGGAGAACCTAGGGTAAGGATATCCGTGTGTAGCCAAACACCCTCGTAGAACCCTAGAACAAAGTCCTGGTGGTTTGGAGTCCATTTCTTCCCTTGTTTTGTCTTCCCCAATTTTCCTTGGAGAAATTGGGTGGTTTGATTTTGCAAAGCAAGAAAAGCTTTGTAGCCAGCTTACTTTGGGAAACCCTGAGGAGTCGTAAAATGGGAAAAGTATTGTAGCTAGCTCATTTCGCGACGTCGTGGAGAGTTTTCTCCTTGGACACCCGGAGAGAAACACCCTACATGCCTCACCAATGCAGAAGGTGGTGGTGCCACAAACCCAGGAGTTAACCCTCGATTTCTATGTGAGGGCACTAACACAGTTCACTATTAAGCGTGTTTGTTTGTCTCATATTACAATGCATCTTGCTTGAAGCATGCTGCCCTTCACTTTGCCTCAACTGGTGCCTTTGTTTGGTCGACATCTTACTTTGCCTTGACCAGCCGTGTCCACTTCTCAATTTATTTGGGCCGCCAGCCCCGCCCCAGCCTGGCCCCGTCGACATCTCACTTTGCCTAGACTAACTGCCCCGACCCAACCCCAACCCGGTCGGCATTTTACTTTACCTTGAGCGACCACCCTGGTCTGGTAAGCATCTCACTTTGCCTAAACCGACCGACCCGACCCGGTAAGCAACTCACTTTGCCTCAACCGACAGCTCCGACCCGATTGGCTGCAACACCTGACTTTGATTCGACCGGTCGCCTTGACCCGTCGACATCTCACTTTGCCTCGGTCGGCTGCCCCGAATCGGTTGAAATCTT